ACACTTGGTTTCTTTCCTTTAAACTGATATTTTAATTATAGAAATTTTTAAAGTCTTACGTTACTTATTCGAAATTATTCGATTTTCTCTAATATACAATTTTATTTATATTACGTAAAAGTCATTACGTGTGACCATTGGAGCGCGTTTCTTTAATAATTTATATAATCGAGATATATGTAACAATTATACATTTAATATTCCAAATGTTGAAATCGGATAATAAAAGAATAATTTTTCAGTGTAATTATCTTAATCAAATCTATAATCAAATTAAATCTGATTTGCAAAGATGATACCTTTGTCAACAATTAATTTGTAATACGTTTTGAATAATATCAGTCATCACCTATAATTACTTTGCCCTTTGGCATTTTATCTTGTTTCAAATATTGCGATCAATAATTGTCAAGATATAGAAGTTAATAGTTAAAAATGTAACGATCGTGTTCGACGGTAAAACTTTCGCACGTGAAATGATCTTTACTGATCTTCACCATTTTTCATTGTTCTTCCGGTTCTCATCATTTTACTCGCGACCGATCCGCAGAGTTTCTACGAAACGCTTCGAGAACCAATTACCAATGGACTAACCGATGGCACGCACGATGGAATCAATTAAGCTTGATTACCTGAAACGCCGTTAGGGATTCCGCGCGGCCGACCGATCCGCACTTTATCGTAAGAGAACTCTAGAGAAATTGATGCTTATGCCAGAAACGCGGCGTGAAAGCGAGTGGTAATGCGAAGTGATACGTATGTAATTTAATCTTCCAGGTCATTGACACCTACGAAATTTCGAGTTATCTGATTCACTTTCCACGGACTGTGACTAAAGAATACTGTGCAACTCTCGAGGAACATTAAATTTTACGATCTTCGCCATGTATAATTTGCCTCTGTTTTTCTTCTTTATGGATTTTTTAATCTACTTATCGATTTTCTTTTTAAATAGTAAAATTTAATTACATTATCAATAATCTTTCCATTAAGTAAAAATCTGAAATCAACGATTCGTTGTATTTTTATAAATAGTTAGGAAATTTCTTCTTGAGGAGGAAGAAAAATTGTGATCGGTCTAGAAAAATATTTTTAGATGTTTCTACGAAAAATTGTAGAGTCTTCTAGCATCGAGTAAGTCTATATATTTTCCGTGGTAATTTATATGTACGAGCGGAGCAAAGTAGTTTTCGAAATCAGGTCTCGATGGACCAAGAACGATCGAAGAATCACTCTTACCTAATTCTAGTCATTGATTTTAATGCTACCATGCTTCAAGGATGGTTGCCTCCTTTACGTAACGTGACGCTCATCATGAAAAAAAAAACACCGTCCGTATAATAAACTTATTATTACATAAGCGAGAGAATCTTCGCGAGACCGATCGTAAATTGTGTCTAAATCGAAAACACAACAGAATCTGGGACTCCATCAATCACACGAAGTCTTTGTGTTGACGAACGCTCGCGTCACCGTCTTGTTAGAACGATTTGGCACGTGGACTAAACTTTGATGAGCGTAAATTTCGCGAACCAACAAGGGATCGTACATGGTACTTGTTTGTTAAACAAGGAAAGTAGGACCAATTATTTCGTGGTTTGCATGATTTTTTCCTGCCATTACGGAAAGGTCAGGAAACGAGGCCACGAAGCGACAGGAAGTTATACAATAGAGAGCACGTTCCTGTTCTTCACAGGGAAAATTCTATATAATATATACATATATGCTGATAACATTTTTAATGAGCACTCGATTCTCTCATTATGTCCGATAGATGAGTTTTCTCTCATCCTCTCGCGGGATGAAAGTCTCCTATTTTCCATATCTTCGAATTACGAAAGTACATCTCATTGCAAAAGATATCGAAACGGCATGCTTAAACAGCGTCTTTATCTGCATTGTAATGTGAGACTACGAGAGTTTGTTCCTCTATAATCGTGAAATTGCGCATATGTTGGCAAATCGCCATACTAATAGAACCTATTGCTTTAAACACATCTTGCTGTTCTATTTGCTGAATAGAATTTGATGACAATTTGTAGTAAAAATTTTGAGATAAATGGCACAATGCCCAGAATATTCTATCAATATTTCGAGATTATGATGGATTTCATAACCAACAGACCGAAAGACATAATCTATTTATACTTCCAAATTCAAATATTGTATCATCAATAACTCGTTAATATTTTTGGCTCTTATTAATTCTTAATAACGTATATGTATTAATTAATGCTCGCATTAGCCACAAAGATATTAATTAAGTTAGAAAAATTTTGTAAATTTTCTATATTAATTAAAAAAGATTAAAGAAACAATATATTTAGTTTCTCTTTACCTTTGATAAAACTTTTTGAAATACATTATGCCAGATAACTAAATAAGTTTTTAAGATAATTCCTAATGATCTATTTAACGCGAAGAATTAAGCAGATAATATAACATCATGCGATTACATACGTTATTAACACCCATAACCTGGCAAAGCCATTTTCATGCATTTTTCGCAATAAATCGTTAATCCCAAAAATTCCTCATTAATTTAATGAAAGAAATTATCAATAAAAATAATGACGATGTAATAAAACTAAAGAGTTCACCAGGAAAAGGCTGTATAAAAACATTTATATATATATATATAAAATTGCTTATTTCTTTTTATTTCTATATATTTTCATCATACCTATATTGTCAGAATTTATTGAAAACACTCGAAAACGATAAAAGAAAAGGTAAATGCAAGTGACCTAGATGAAAAATCCTGAAAGATTTTACGAGCGAAATATATGTTATATTTGTACAGCCTTTTCGAGAGATGAACACTTCTATAAATTGCGATCTACCTCGACGTCCCGATATCACGGTCGACGAACTCCATCGTCACCTGGCAGTAGACAATCTTGACGACGTACATCGCGGTCCGAGTCGCTGCGGCGCTTCGCACTGACGACACTCCGCGTCGTCGGCCCTCTCCGCGCTGCGAGTGATTTCCGATGTGCAGGAGACACACGCGGTTTGTCAAAGCCCTTTTGTGCCGTACGGTATGCACGTGTGCGTATTACAGGGAGAGAGAGAGAGAGAGAGAGAGAGAGAAGAGAGAGAAGAGAGAACGAGAGAA